TAAGCTGGTGCAAGATATAAATAAATATGCTTAAAATTAAGAAGCATTGCAAATACGATTCCTGATGCCAGATCATTTTTCTGTAATATATATTAGTCAGAGTCGTAATGTTGGAATTTCAAGCAGAGCGATTGGAATTCGTTTCATCTAACCTGATGTATTAACACTATTGACAGGATAAGTATGCCGAACAAAAAACCGTTATATTGAAAATGTATATGATCCACGATAAAGAATCCCGGATTCAGAAAAATTGAAATAACAACAATTGTATGGAACATATCATTCTTGACAGACAAATATCTTCGGTTGGATAAAGCATTAACATGCGAACTGGAAGTCACGAAATCGAGTATAATATAACTGGTCCATTCACTTACTTGACGAGAGCATAGAATAAGACCAACTCGCTCGCAATAACTGTTGCCCGTTGGTAATAGATCGTTTCGTTACTTGCATAGTCCAGATTTGTCACTTTGAGCATCTCATTATCAGCTATCGGTGCAAACTGAGAAAGAGCCCACTCAAACCATGCAAAAAATGGAGGATAATCGAGCGTCCATTCACTAGTACTTTCATGATACCATTGTTGAACTGGCAAACTATGAGTAATGGCAAGCCAGTTTCTGTGTACTTCAAAGTCTGTTGAGTGACTACAGAAATAGATAATAATGATTGATAAAATAAGGAGTATAGCGTATATTAATGTTGTAAGGCCATCACTTACTATGCGGGAAAGAGAAGTATTTTTATTAATGTACTAAAGATTAAAAGGTTTTTCTTCATGGTTGGAAACGATAAAAATGTTTAGAGTGTTTACGATTGATTTGTATTTGTATCACTTGACGTACGGATCCTCGTTAGAACACTATATCGATATTAATATTACCTAATGTTCGAAACATTAAATATTTGCGTACTACTAACTGACTACTATGTTCGTGAACAATTCATTTAACCTTCTTGTACTGTTGAATATATGATCTTCGACATGAATTCTATAACGCGTTATTGATGTAGCTATAAATAGATCGTGAGACAATTACGCCTTTAGGTAAAGGTTATCTCTTCAGGTACATATATAAGCCCAGATGGACCGTCAATTTAGCATTTTTGTCATCAAAAGACTCAACGAGCTTTGTCATTCGAATTGTACGGATGTAAGGAATATAAGAAACGGTGTAACGGCATGGCAATTCCTAGCCGCACTTTGAAGAGAATATATTTAAACGTTGTGTATTTTACTGTTGAGCATAGCATTCATTTAATAATGCTATTCCCGACGGATCCGTAAATGATCACGTCTGCTAGTTTTCAATACCAAATTTTGCGCAATGATGCATCTAATTTGTTTGCCGAGCGTTGTTCAACTACTGAACCGCTTTTTCACCGTTAAACTTGTTACCAAACGACCTGGAACATCTTCTTGCGGGTTGTTCTAATTGGACAATGCAGCCTTGTTAAAGACGTATTTTCCTACTTGATACATTGAATTTTATAGAACGCAGATATTAATTAATAATACCAAGTTAATAAATTAAAATCTATTGGGCTTAAAAAGAACTAAATGATTACTTCCAACAGATCAAGGAATAGGTCAAAATGTCAAACAAAAAAGCTATTTTGCTGCGTTGTCAATTTAATTCTTGTTTTATATTGAGTATGAATTTATTGTGCTGAAGTTGATGGAAACCTTTTCTGCATGTTTCGATAGAATTACAATGAAGAAACAAAAAGAAAAAAAAGAAAAAGGTCCAATATAGGAATGATAATAAGTAAATCATTCGATATTAACATTTACTATTACACAACAGAATAAATTACAACTATTAACTAATTTTCAAAATGATTATCTTTAAGTAAACTTGAGCTCAAATTATGATTACAATGCTTTATTTCAAAGCCTACACAATAATAACAATAAATTCAGCTATTTATCACTGAACCTTCAAGGAATCTTCCAATGTCTAAACATCATCACTACCTCTCCCATTATCTTCATCAGAATGGTCTAGTAAAGTTTCAATATCTGGTACACAGACAAACTGCTTAGATACCTGACCTAGGCAATATGCACCCTTCTTTGCTGGGTCAAGTACCACAATGTTTTGTAAGAAAGAACACTCTGTTCCAGAATAAACCTGTAGAGAATAAACTTTAATAATCCACGAATTTGATATTTGTAAGATAAAAGTCAAATATACATACATCTAATTCAATGTTTCCTAATTTTAATTTTGTTTCCCCAGACTTATAGACAACTAGCTTTCCAACCATTCCTTCTACATGTCGAGTTCCTTTCGAGTCTTTTTGTTGGTTATCCGCTTTGTCATCCTTTCTAGACTCGGTATTCGTACTGGCTCTAAAGGCAGTTGATGCAGTAGCCTCGGCAACTGATTCAAATTCAGGTAGTATCGGAGGTAATTGAAACAAAAACAAATGATTATCCTGAATATAATTTAGGAATTAGATACTATATCGACCAAAATCAACCATGCCGTGACACATATAATTTTGCGTATTCTTACTTCTTCATTAAATATAAATGGTTCAACTTTTTCCATTTGTTCTTCCGCAAGAAATGCAGATGTTTCATTGTTCTCCGATGAATTAAGAGTCTCTGCCTGATCCGGTGTCTCAAATAGAGTAACAGGGGCCCAGGGGTCTTCGCGAAAAGAAAATGCCAAATTTTCCGCATTAACCACATCTGATTTCAGCCGATTATCCGAAAAGAGTCGGCTTCCAGTACGCGTCACGTTCTCGCCATCAACTTCAATTGAATGCGAAGACATAGCCGACGGCCCGTAAGCAAACGGTCCAGAGGCTGTTAGCACTTGATTTCGTAATCGCGATCGTTGATTCGGTCGGCTTGACGCCGTTTGTGCTGTGGTTCCCGTGTTTGACACATGAGCCTCTGTTGAACTTGATTCATCTTTTACAATTATAGCCTCAGGAGGCATATCTACGGAAGAACTTTCAGCAGTATCAACTTTAGCATCTCCCTCTCCAGGCGCTATTGTTGTGTTTTTCTTCCGCCGGGGAGGAACTGAAGGTCTAAACGTCATTTTCTTGAAGCCACCGAGAGTAACATCTCCAAAACCCGCATTTGAAGAAAGCATGCCCATTCCACTCATATCAGGAAATTGTGATCCATCCCCCTGTAAATAAAAGTGTCTTAATGCTGTTAGTATGTAAGTAGGCTGTAAAAATTAGGACATATCTAGCAACAAACCCCAAAGGTAACGTCTCGTGCAAGTCTCAGAGATGCAAGCCTCCCAGGCGCAGGTGCTTCGACTGTATTATGGAGCGAGCCAAGCCTCCGACCTGCAGTCAATGGCGACAAATTGCTCGAGGATGCTGGAGGTGAAGCTTCGGCATTTGCTGAATTGGAAGGAGAGTTGGACCTCCCGCGCTGACTGGTACCTCCACGTCTAGGCGTCCGCGGGCTCCCACGAGTAGACATCGAATTAACTGTGCAGGGTCACGATTCAATCTAGTAATACATGTCACATGACTATATCATTAAAAACACGTCGCGTTTGAACCAACCGGTTTGTAGAAAATGGATGAACTCATCCAAGCTTGCAGCTTGCTGGATAACCTGGTAGCGAAGCGCCATTTATTAACAGCTGTCAAGTCAGAAAACTTTGAATTATTCCCTAATGACATACTGTCGCTCATGCCCGCTGATAAAACCAACCATGGAAGTAAGACGAGGTGTGTTTGATGTCATTGAAACAGATTATTCGGACTACGTCTAAGTATCTTTCTAGAATTAATACAGATGCTCTAAAAGAATATGCAGCGAGAGAAAGATTTGAAATGGAAAATTTACAATCAGAACTGGAGTTTATTCAACAAAGTGTAAGATTTCTTGTAATCAAGATTCAGACTGAAGAATCAAAACCTAATTTACGCGCTTCATATATACCATAAATAAGTTTGATGACTGTCAGGATGACAGAGAGATTGACGATAAGTTACTCGTCGAACTGAGAGAAATATCATCCACTTTAAATCAGCATCTGACCAAATTTGTGGAAGTCTACGATAATGAACTTGCCATATGGACAAAGAATAAGGCAGAGCAAATCGAATTTGGTAAGGTTCTTTTTTGGAACGGTCTGTCTTCGTTGTGTCATTGTGATTTCCTCTTACGTTCTACTCTCCTAGGATTGGGGCCAAAAGTGCGAGAAGCTCATATGCGCATCTGCCAGTTGCATGAGGTAGAAGTGTGTGGCCTTGTGGATTTTCCTACTTGACGTATTGAGCATGTGCCAATATTATTTTGTATGAATAATAGACTCTCAACAACATGGAAGAAATACGTAGGACACACAATCACATTATATACGGTCGTTCCCATAATGTACAGTATTCGGAACAGAATACAGATGAGATGAATTCAAATATCCAATTAAGCAACGATGCTATTGTTAAGTTGGAGCTCGTGGATGCGATATTAAGAGATGGTCTCTTGCGGAGAAAACGCGGGGTAGGCAATAAGCCCATCAATACCGCCACTTCATTATAAGCACGACCATCCTAATATTCGTTAAAAGGAAAGTAATTTCCATTTAAGTCTCCCATTTTGAATAATAAACAGCGAAAAAGAATAACAGCTACACAAATACAGTGATATTGGCATTTTTATGGAATTTTAGGCAAGACAGGATAAAAAATTTTCAATAACACTTTATTGGTATAAAAGATTCTGTCTTTAGATGGTTATGAAATGTCAATATTCTCGGCCTATTATAATATATATGAGTGAAAAACGGCAGCCTGCGGCGTGCCATTACTAGTATATTTGGTTTGGTCGTAAAGCATTAACAGTTGCATCAACTCGAAATCGTCGCCGCCGAGGATTCATTAGAGGAACAGTGTAATTATCCACACGACCAACGTCTCGAGTTGCTGTTTTGCTATTCTCGTCTTGTGCGGTCAACACGCAGCATCTATCCAATGACAGGTTTGTACACACGCAAGAGGAAAGCAAACCTGATGGAAAATTTGGTTACACTCTAACTGAGGGAGGGAGGGAGGGGAAGCAACAATGTGAATAAAGAGAATCATTATTAGATGTATTAGATGTGGAAGAACTTTACACCTCACCGTGCAGTCAGCCAATCTTTCATGTGTCTTCAACTCCAAACGAGAATAAAAGGAATATTGACAACTGAACTATGTCAGTCAAGCCTCGATAATTTACCGTCCTAATAATTTTTTAAAATCTTGCATGACCGCAACATCAATTCCGCGTGCACGCGCCTTTATCCGCAAATTACGATCGTTAGTAAGCAACACGACCGTTGCGCTATTATTTAAATCAGAATCATTCCGAGTTTGGCGAGTGCTGCTATTTTGGTTGCTTATATGCCAGCAGCATATTCCTAATATAAGATCATCAAGATTTTTCCTTTTATTTTCCCCTTCGCCGAAATCAAACATTTCCTTGAAATTAATATCAGACACATAGTTGCCCTTGCTTGTTTGGATCTTCAGCTTCCTGTATCGTTTTGCCAGCAGTGTTTGTTCAATGTACGTAATGGCTTCTGCTGAAGCACTGCCAAGCGGTGGCGGATTATGACTTAACCCATCCAACTCTGTGATAACTATAAAATAAACATGCTCAATAGTTGTAAATCAAGTGAAAGAATCTGCGAAAGTCTTGCCGATATTTACCCACTAATGGAACTATAACAGTCCATTTCTCACACTGTATGATCTCTTTCATCATCCTCAGGTCACCTATGAAACAATTGGTGTCGATTACAAGACAAGTAATACCCGGCCTGATTCGCGACGTTGTGGCATTTTTCCTCGAACTCTTCTGCCTACGTAAGCGTGAATTCGAAGCCACTTTGCCTGACGAATTGTTCCTTGTTGCCGCAAGTAAAGCTTCTAACTCTAGGCGACGTTTCTGTGTCACAAAAAATAACAAGCTAAAGGCAACATATTTCTATGATAACTGTAACGACATTGAATACATACTTTTAACTCTCTTATCTCATTATTTCCTTCTAGTTCTTCATTTTCATTCTCGTTCTCATTCTCATCCTCATCTTCATAATCGTATTCGTTTGAGTCACCACTTTCTGCTTCAACTTCGTGCATGTCTTTTTCAGTTGGTGTATTTCCATAAGATTGGATTTTATCGTCAATATCCGAGACGACGGACGAACGAAAGGCTGCTTTCTCAGAATCAAATACAAGTCCGGAGAATAGCTGTAATAAATTTAAACCATTTAACTCATCTGAATTGACAAGGAAAAAAAAACAGATTATGATAAAATACAATCTCTTACTTCGCTAAGAATAATGCCGAGCTCAAAAATTCGGTATCGTCGACTCTTAACGACATCCTGGTTTAACCATGAGGCATATTGCGTCTTTACACTTTCGCTTAACAATTGAGCATCCTGATTTTCGATGCTCCTAATAAGTGACTTCGTATAATCTTCAGATAATTTTGGCGAGTAAACTCTTTCTAACCATACAATTCCGCGTAACTCCCAATCCTCGGGTAAGACGGGATTTCTCAACAAAAATTTACTGGCAGAGTTTCTCTCGTCCAACAAATCTGCCACTATCTCATTAGTTAAACCAACTTCTTCGGCAACGTGTGTGAGAAATCTGGCGAGCACGGACCAAAATCCACTTGGAATTGAATTGCTTATAATTAAATCCCACACACTTTTACGAACATCCTCAGCGTTTGTTTTGAAGACACCACTGGCGACCATCCAAAGCAACACAATTTCGATGTACAAAATCCACCCCTCCATTATGGGATTAGGTCCGGAATTTGCATCAGAGCTTGTATACTTAAGCATGAAATTGTACATGAGCTTGAAGGTCAATCTGCTGACCTGAGAAAATGCAAAATCTGCTGCAACTGTTTGCGTGTAATTATTCCCCGTATCATCTAAGGATCTCAGTGCGCGTTTGAACGACGATGCCTCTTTGCTTCCATAATCATAAAAGCTAGATAAATTAATGATTGCCATTTTTAAAAAAAAATCGCATGATCGAGACTCCGTGGGCGACCCCTCGTCATTATCTGTACACACGCGCAAAAGAAAAGCCTTTTCAATTTCCTCAAAATGCTCAAGTCCAATTTTCGTAAAAAGCATGCCATGCAGGCGCACAAATAAACCAAGAAAAGTTTGATGCTCAGCTGGTTCACTTAAGGAGAAAGTTGTACTATTTGAATGAGACCGCATAGATTCACCCTTTGCTTTCGTTGGGCTTGATTCGTGAGAAGTAAAGCGTTTTCTATTTCTCTCGAAAAACAACACAAGCGATTCCCGAGCAGTAAGAAATGGCATCTTGACCATGAGGCTGAAGAATTGAATAGGTTATTCGTAATTCCATTACAACCGAAGTCGCGCAAACTTGAAAATCAACGAAGACAAACCTCCGACAATAATAATATAGAATTCTTAACTCGTTCTTTGGTGCCAGGATAGCTAAATGGTGATAGAACTTACCTGAAAGTGTGCATATCAGGTAATTAATATGTTGGATTAAATAGTAATCAAATCATGATTCCATTCTTATAACCAAGCAGTTAGGACTATAGTAGTCATTGGTAAATACCATTAGTTGGATTGAGCTTAATGCCCATAAGATACCAGTTAGAAGCAATGTCTGCCAAACTATCTCGACTAACTTCCAGATCGTCCACGCTGTAGCTCCAACGATACCTTGAAATATCACCAAGACAGTCAACACATCTGAACCATCGTGGAGTTTTAGACTTGTCGCCTACATTCTCCGAATCTTTATCCATTTGAATAATCAATAGTTTGTAAAACTCCTCTGCTTTATCCAAAAAGTCATACAAAGTGCTTAGAATGATGGACGAATCTGATTTCTTCATTTTAATAGCCTGGCGAAACTTCTCTATCAAAGAGTAGTAACAAATTTTCCAGCATTTCGCCTCTATTTCATTCTTCATAGCAAGCGAGTAATGCAAATGAATATACTGAGCATACTTTTTTGACAACCTGTAGGAAGTACAAAAGAGCAATTATTAAACTTCGCCGGACAACACATTACGCGGGATTTGCATACCGTATGTGTAAATCCACTTTCTCTCCCCAGTAAGTTTCATCTTTAAAAACTTTTCCATTTTTCAAGTAGCTATTGAAGTGAAGGTCATCCTCTGCAATTTGAGATTCTAGCTGATAAACATCCTCAAGAAGCAACTTGATCGCATTAGAGGTAGCATCCTGTCTGCTCACTTTTTCGCCTTTCAAAGTATTGCTTGAGTCACCACGAGACTGAGAACAATGAGCACGCGCAACGTCTTCGTCAACTAGATTTCTGCTTTTACGTCTAGACGATGATTTCTCTGCGACAGACTTTGATTGCCCACTTAACTCTTCGCGAGTTCGTAAAGCGGCTTGGTGACCAACAATTTTGTTTTCAGATTCAAAAGACGAGTTGCCGGTCATTAGATGTTTTGATTTAGGAATCACAGGATCACATTCTGGATCAAACAGTCGGCGATTATTGGGTTTCGAGACAGTATTTCTTTTATAGTCCTCACTGTCGTCGGATTTTGTCGTCTTGGGCACAGGATCACTGGTTGGATCAAACAGCTTTCGAGACGTTCTCGAATACTCCCGACGAGAATCGTAGAGTTCCCTTGAGATTATACTGACAGAGTGCCTATACCGACTCGTCGATTTCCCCTGCCCTAACGTGCCAACACGCTGATCGGTCATTGCATGTGTGTCTAATATCGAAGAGTCTGTAAATTACAGAATTAATATCATCTGCGTTCACGTGATTGTATGCTAGACCAAGGAACGCAAGTAACCATCAAACAAAAAATTGATGATACAGGCATTAGTTTATTAATAATTCAAATTTTAAGAACGCCATTTTGTTCTTCTTGATAAATACTAGCAAATTATGACAAATACTACACGCGGTTTGAATAACTGTTCAACGTTTAGTTAATTTATAGTGAGCGGAAGTTTGAAACAGCCCTTTTGGTAAATTTATCTTAAATCTGGCCCGTTTCTTAAAATCTTAACAAAAAAAAAAATTCGCGTGTTACATGACCGCTACTCCAAGAGGCAATTGCCATAAAATTATTTCTGCTAAACGATATACACATTGCGATTTACCGTTACGCTTGGAACAGTTTAAAGGAAACTCTTCCATCCGCGTTTGATTAAAATTGGCTATCATCACCACGTAATTTTATAATAAATCACATGACCAAGCATATTGTCATGTCGATTAACTTCAATTAAAGATAATAGAATCCATTGAAGTATTGAAGTTCAAATATTTGTGAATTAAATTTACATGTTATTGTTATTTATAAAAATTAAAGCCTTCGTTTTTAAAGAAAGTTCTCAGTAGAGTTATTATAACAATTTTGCTACTGATATCATTTTCAGAAGCTAATTCATTTTTGCCATATCATATAATACCAATTGAGAGTTTGAGACTTAGCCAACTAACATAACGTGCTCAATAATCCGGTTATTAATTTTTTATTATAGTGTTACTAACGAACAGTAAGGAGCATGTTGAAGAGTGTTTTCACGGATGCGGCTCTTCTGACGAAGAATCAGCCTGAAATAACCGTGACAACATTGGAGCAAATCAACTCAATAGAATTTGTTTCTGTCATCCATGAGTGAGCTCTTTTCAATAATAATAAGAAAATTAGACGCTGCAATTATTATGAAATTATCCCTTAATCTGCAGGCCAATTTTGGGCATATTTGACCTTTAATTTTGTTACGCATTTTTGCGAATGCTATCTGTATTTTCGCCATTATTAAAAGCAATTATAATAGAATAAAATGCCTTGTAATCATAAAACATTGACATATACAGTGTATCTCAAAAATCATTTGTGGTTTGGAAAGCATCTCCCTATATTAATATAAGGGGAAAGCCTCCTCTTTGTTTTACAATGCAATGAATAGTTAATTCTACGACCCCAGCTTTTACCTGCTGCCCAAAAGCTGTCTGGCATTAGGTCGGTTGTAGTGAATGTGATACACACTAACACTATGTTGTCTTCCATATGATGGTTGAGTTGTTGCGTATTTAAATTTCGTTACCGAAAGCTGTCTATTGTTAGGCCGGGCGTGTGCCAGCACTGGCGAACGTGGACGGCCTGTTGTGAACGAACGTTATTTAAATAACGACGCACTTGCTCATATTAATATTCTTAATAATCAGGACAAAAGCGTTCGGTGTGGACATGATCATTTACTGTATTAGTCCCAATGTAAAACTGTCAGTTTATTTACAATACGAAATTTTTTTATAAACAGGAGCAATATAATTCGCCTAAGTTATAACACATGAACTTTGTTGTATTATTATTATTATTATTATTATTATTATTATTATTATTATTATTATTATTATTATAACTGGTTCCAGAAAATAGGCCATCTTCGTTCAACTGAGAGTTCGTTAAAGTGAATTTCACTGCATTACACGTTAAAAAATTATGCCATATGGGAAACCATTCACAAACACATGAGAATGGAATTGCTTCAAACAACTCACTCGTTTAGTAAGTTCGCTATTATTCGTAGGATTCAAGGAGAGGCGATCATAACATCTCATAGACGTAATATTTCGCCGAAACCCATTTCATCGCCAACATTATTTCAAAATCATCCTTTTTGGTAGTTGACTGTGAAATGAAAGCACTCAAGGGTGAAATTACAACTGCCCACATGTTAAAAAGTGAATAAGCCGGCATTGTAGGACAAGCAATTTTTGTATTAGCAGGCTGCCTACACATATTCACTAATTATGTGAAATATAAGCCTGACTTGAGATTTATTCCTGATGAAAGACTTTCGATGCGACGTCCGAATCTGAAAACTGTCAAATTGACGGTTACAGTAATTACAGTAACGTGATCATATGTACATCTTCGTCTCCGCATCAGAACTCTTTGCTTCTTGATTAACTTTTCGGGTAGCATCAGCTTTATTTTCAAAAATTTTTGGCATAATTAGTATACCCGTTAATTTTAATAATAGTGGGATAGTCTTAGCTCACTGGATGCAATATTCGTGTGACATAAACTGTTATTGAACATGTTTGTAATGCATTTTTTATCCGAGACAATAACATATTGATGTCTGAAACAGGACGCAGAACTCTTCAAATTTTTAGAAAATGGAGAGGTTAATGCCATAATTTCTCAAGAAAAACTTAAAAGTTGGGGCATGAAGGTAGGACCAAGCTTTGAGGTTTGTTGACTTTGTAAAGAATTGTAGTAGTAGGGAGAAAAAGAGGCACCTGTTTTCCTCATACTGTATATGGAGGAAGTGTTAGAAAAATATGGTATTAAAAGCAATCGTATAGTAAGCATTCCCCCAGTTCATACTAATATATAATACTCAATTGATGATTATGAGATTTTAAGATGATCCTCTGCCTGCAGGATAAAAATACGGGACCAGTTGTGGACAGTAACAAGGCTGTGTAATGTGAATACATTTCTACAATTTTTCATACTGCTATTAGTATTGTTGGAGGATTAGTATTAGTACTCTGGTGGCCATGTCAACTATTATTATTCTTATGTCATCAAGAAAGTAGAAAATCGAAAACAGTCTGTGAAAGCCAGCAAGTTAATAGTCTAAATTAATAATAAAATAAATAACTGGCGATCACATTGATGAATTCTATCTTCTACTGATATATGATAGAGAAAATTATTATGATCTATCTCTACGGCCAGCTGCAGGTCTTAACGTTTAGTCCTGACAAATGTAGGTTGGTTGTTATTGATTGTGCGAGGTAAGGTCACAAGGATTGGTGCATAGCGTCGTACGTCGATCTGAATTATATGGTTGTCTTAACCATCGATATTATTCAGGTTTTGTACCTCGCCAAGAGGTCATAATCATTGTCGTTAAGAGGTGTTTCAAAGCCTCACAGGATATAAACGATAATAGTCCTCAATGGATTCGGCATCTTTAGGGATCAATCGAATAAGCTGTCTACGATAATAGTGCGCACTTATAAGACATAAACTTTAACGAGACATTCTGTTTATGTTTCATTGCTACAATGTCGCAAGCTAGTAATGTTTTAGAAATTACTGCCGTCGAAAAATCCGAACCCCCCGAAAAACCACCTACTATTACCTTCCACTCCGGAACACTCGTAAAGGACTACCAATCAACTGCAAATAGCAAATTCAAGTCTCTTGAGATTGTTAGTAATCTTCTCTAAATATCTAGTTCGGTATGTTACACGGTAATTAACAATAATATATTAATATGTCCCTTAGGATGAGCATTTGTTGAACGCAGAACAAGTTGCCAGTCAATGTAATACCAACATCAACTTTTCTAAACCCGCTGATTCAAATGGATTATCAACTGACGATGCCCAAAAACGTGTGCTTGAAGGAGGACAAAACGTTCTTACGCCGCAAAAGAAAATACATCCGATCCTTAAATACTTGCAATGCTTGCGGTCTGTTTAATTTATTGTTGATTGCCGCTGCAATCTTTGAGTACGCTGTGCTTGCTGTTGAGTTTGAAGCCAATAAAGTCAACGTAAGTTTACTATGCTTTGTTAATATCCGTTATTATTATCATTTTTCGCGATATTTGTTCAATGCCTTATTGTCTAGCTAAATGTGACCAATTCGATGTATTTATTATACCTTTTAGATCTATCTTGGCGCCGTGCTATTTGCTGTTGCATTCCTTAACGCCTACATCGAATTTTACCAACTACGGAAGTCTGCTGCGATCCTCGAGTCCTTTTTAAATTTGAGTCCGCAAAAGTGCCTTGTACGCCGAGACGGGAAATGGACCCAAATTCTGGCAATAAATCTTGTCCGCGGAGATGTGGTATTCGTGAAGATGGGCAACAAAGTTCCTGCCGATCTTTACCTATTTGCTGCTACAGACATGAAAGTAGATAATTCCTCCCTGACTGGCGAAACAGGGCCACAAAAACGAACAACCTTCAATTTTGAGAAAAATCATCTAAAAGCCACTAATCTCTGTTTCAGTGGTACACTTGTAATCTCTGGAGAGGGTTATGGTATTGTCATTCGTACTGGGGACACTACCGTGTTGGGTCAGATTGCCAACCTGACTTTTAGAGAAAAGAAAAACAAATCTCCATTGGCCCGCGAAATTGACGATCTCGTGAAAATTATATCGGGACTTGCCACACTATCTGTAATCGTTTTCTTCTTTTGCAGTCTGAAAATATATAACAATAACATCGCGCTTTCTCTCAATTTCGCAATTTCTTTGCTAGTTGCCTGGGCACCACAAGGGTTGCCGGCTACTGTCATGATGTTACTCACAGTAGCTGCCAAACGCATGGGTAAACGAAACGTATTAGTCAAAGATCTACAAAGCGTGGAAACACTGGGTGCTATTACTCTATTGGCTATTGATAAGGCTGGTACTTTGACTGGAAATGGAATGGTTCCATCCTATATTTGGTCCGACTCGAAGTTATACACGACGTTCAATCAGAATGAATCCGCCGAACCCTTCGACCCTAAAAATGCTGGTAATCAAGAAATCATCCTTACTTTTATCTTGTGTTCGCGTATAAACCCATTCGAAATTCGGTTTGCCAGTCAATACGTGCCCGATTACGATGAAGTCGTCAATGCCTATCCAAAAATTTTCGAAATCCCTCTCATTGCTGCAAACAAATGGGCTCTTTCGATTCATAAAAAGAGACACGAAAATGGTGAATTAATTCTCTACATGCAAGGCGCTCCGGAACGCGTCCTCTTCCATTGCTCCACTATATTCTTGGGCGGCGTAGCCGTGCCATTGACAGACGAACATAGGAAACAATTCCACGATGTATACGAATTCATGGCATCGAAAGGTCATCGCGTATTGGCTTTTGCACGGCTACCACTACCAGGCAGTCAATATTCAGTCAATTACAGTTTCACAAGGGATGAAATATATAATATACTGGGTAATCTGTGTTTTTTTGGCTTGGTTTCTCTCGAAGTTCCTCCAAAGCATGGCGTTCGCGAAGCCATGGGTCGCTGTCGTCTTGCGGGCATTCGCGTTGTGATGATAACCGACGATGGTCTTCTAACAGCTGAAAATATTGCACGTAATATTAATCTTATGCTATCTGATACGAAGGCGCTTGTAGCAAAACGTACAGGACGACCAGTTGATTCCATTCGTGAAGAGGAATACAACGCAATTGCCATTTCTGGAGAAACTATTGACACTTTGAGCGACTTTGAGTGGGATAATATATTTTCCAAGCGTGAAATTGTTTTTGCCAGTACGTCACCGCGACACAAACTCGAGATTGTCAAGCGAGCTCAAAACATGGGACATATTGTGGGAGTAACGGGGGATGGTGTGAATGACGCTCCTGCTCTCAAGAAAGCTGATCTGGGTATTTCTATGAATAGTACTGGCTCAGATGTATCAAAGGAGGCTGCCTCTATGATATTATTGGATGATAACTTTGCGTCTACCATAAAAGGAATCGAAGAAGGCCGTCTAATTTTCATTAACCTTAAGAAATCTGTTCAGTATGTAATTACTCACTTGACTCCAGAAATCTATGCCGTGCTTCTATTTATTATCGTCCCCCTGCCATTGCCTCTGTCAACCATTCAAATTTTGCTCATCGATTTGGGCTACGAATTATTTATTGCCATGACCTTTGCTTGGGACAAGCCAGAAGATGCTTCAAAGTTGATGAAATTGGCTCCTCGAAGACGCGTTACGCTGAAAACCATACAAAATTTACGTCGCCGTGCTCTCATGCGTACGCCTACTGTTACGGATCCTGAAACAGGATTGCCTCTGCAAACTTCCAGAATGAGCCGATTCTTTACGCAATTTAAAAAACTTGCAAGTTGGGAATGGTGGAAACAGAGGTTTGAATTGAGCGGAGATGGAGAAGTTCTTATTGACGGGAATATTTTAAGTTATGCTTATTTGGAAGTCGGAATTCTCGAAACGGTTTTCTGTTTGTTGGCATACTTTATTGTCTTGAATCACCACGGTATATCGCCAACTGACGCGCGCTTGATGCAGCTAAACGGTTCATACTTTCTCAGTAGCTCGCCCGATTACACAACTACTCGTGGCGTTACCTTAACCGCAGATCAGCAAGTTGAAGCTCTGAGTCAAGGACAGTCGATCTTCTACCTCTCGATTATGATCCAGCAAATGTTTGATCTTTTTGCTGTAAAAGACAGGTTTGACTTACCATTTGGCGAGCTCATGTTCTCAAATCCGCGCAATTTCATCGGTATCTTTCTCGGCGGATGTCTGGCAATGTTTGTCGTTTATATTCCTCCTGCAAACACGGCATTAGGATCAAATTACAGACTCAGTCCATTATATTGGCTAACACCCATCGGAGGAGGAATCACTATATTGTTGTACGTTTCCGTTCGTATCTTAGTCTTCCGCCGACGTCGTGCGTCACTGATTAGCGAGGTAATAGCTGGTCTGAGTATAATGCCTGATGTATACTCACTCGATCTTTCTGTTTAATCGACGAGAACATGTCGACTAGTCGGGGTAAACGTCACTTGCCTATTCTAATTAGTTGAACAATAATCATTTACAATATTAATTATAAATTATCGTTCCGCGATTCGCATAATTGATCAACGGATATATAAATGAGCCGTTTATACCGAAACTTTGCAGCTTTTATGTGGGCCGTTTTTATAGGTATATCTGGTTAATTAATAAAGAAAGAAAGTAATTCGATATTAAAGTCGTCTATTTTAATATATTAATATATTGAATAAAGATCTATCCAATATTTCAACAATTAAGAATATCTGACATTTTCAAGCATTTCAAACATGCTGTTTTACTGATGGGATTCGAGTTCTTATATGTCTTTACCGTGACGGAAAATTCGTCACGAAAATTAATGGAATAATTGTATGATTTTCTAAAAACCAGTAATACCACTATCATTCTTGTAAATAAACTGATATTTGATAAATGAGATTAATAAACTGTTATAATAATTGAACGATCGACCCTGATATTGTCCCTGAAATCGACGACGATCAACCTTAATATTTGGATTTAACGCATAATAATAACGAAACCTCGTCTTAAAACTTGGTTAGCCTATTGCAAGCGATTCAATGTTAAAAACGATCAGTTCAAATAGACGGGTAATAAATGCAATTTTGCTCTAAGAGTCTCTTGAAGCATTAGGGACCTAATATTAATAACGTAACAATATGGAGCTGGTTCTACTGTAAGACATTAAAAGCTCGTTCGTTACGAAAGATTATGTTCACGAATAAACTGTAATTGCAAACGTTCGCTAAGATTAAAAGTTAGCAATGTTGCGTTGATATTATTATTTGTATCAAAACGGGGCGAGTCTTTCCGTCGGCTCGTAAAGTAGTGGCTTTACTATGTGTTCCTTCATTGCGAACATGTTAATAACGTTCTCAACCAACATAAGGCTAGAGTCCCATGTTGTTAATGTGAATGAGAGATATTGATGTCTCTGTTATCGTATAAACGATATGATCGTATGAAAGCATAATTATAACGGTTGGATAAATTGTAATTAATCGTTCGCTGCCCGAACGTAATATTCACTTAACACATTGATGAAGTAACTTTATTCATTACCATATACATTATCATCGTTGCTATGACTGCATCCTGCCTAGGTAATGGCTCAGTTGTGTAGCAGGAATGCTCTTTAGAGTGTTCGACAAGTTTTGACTCTAAGAGAATGTTCATAATTGGTTTGCTGTCCGATTCACTGAACGAGAGTCTAACTCCGATAATGATTAGTGATATTAATTGCTAATGGATATATATGATAATGCTATAATGTTATGAGTTATTCCGTTGCGATTATAAAGCGGAAGGCTATTGTGAATATGGTTAATGACGTTGTCATACGGAGCCCAATCATGAAGCGATGCCGAGAAAAACCCTCATCACGTTCGCAAGAGAGCTTGAAACACTTTACATAATTCAGCAAACCTTTCTCCTAGGATCCTTTTTGAACAACTACAATTGCAACCTGTCTCCAAGAAACGCATTGCTTTTTCATATTCAGTGGAACTGTTATATAATAATAATCTTATGTGTTTATTGCATTACCAGCATTAGTAGTAGACTACTATTGTTTGGCCCTTGCATAAAATAATGAGATTGTAGGTATATTTGCATGCCAGGTAAATTTTCTTGTTAAGTGTGGATACATTACATTCAATAATTCATTATTCATGACAAACTTTTACTAAGTCTACGCGTTTTTATTAGTACAGTCAAAAAATTAAAAATACTTGCCTTGCTGTTTGCCATGATAGCAGCTTCTATTCTATTCTGGCGGAATAATCGTAAGATTTCTCTCAGATTGGAAAAAGTCGTCTATTAATATTAACTTCTGACATTCTCATTAATTGAGTCATGTGGAGATCGGCAAGTTAAATATCACTCCCCCCCACATATTGTAGAAATCTGTGACACTAATCAATACTGGCAAGAGAACAACTTTGCTTCACACGTCTACTTAATCACAACATGATAAGCGCTTTTTTCATTTATAATCAGAAGGGCGAAGTGCTCATCTCGAGACTTTACCGACATGATTTGAAGTAAGGCCTATTTAAACGTGTTATTTGGCTCGGCGTCCTTGTCTCTTTGGACAATTTAGGATTTCCTGCCACCTTTGACGTCTTACTAAGACTACATAATCTTATTATTCTCGCGAATTAAAGGCGTTCTATAGCAGACATATTTCGAATTCATGTAATATCAAACACCGACGTTCGGTCACCGATTATAACGCTTGGATCAACTTCCTTCTTCCATGTTAGACATGAAAACTTGTACATAGCAGCTGTTACCAAGTGCAACGCCAACGCAGCTCTCGTGTTCGAGTTCTGCTATAGAATTATAAACATAGGGAAAAGCTATTTTGGTAAATTTGACGAAGAAAGTGTAAAGAATAATTTTGTACTGATATATGAGTTGTTGGACGAAGTATTGGATTTTGGGTATCCACAGAACAGTGAAACCGAGACATTGAAGATGTATATTACGACCGAAGGAGTTAAATCGGAACGAGCAGTTGTAAGTCAATACTTACGTTCGAAATGTTATATGATCTAGAGCATATCTAACATTCTCTAACTTTAGAAAGAAGATTCTTCAAAGATCACGATTCAAGCTACTGGGACTACCTCCTGGCGACGGGCTGATATTAAATACAGGAAGAATGAAGCGTTTATAGACGTTATCGAGTCTGTTAATCTGCTTATGAGTACAAAAGGTAGTCATCTTGTGTAAAGAATGGGCCAATGCTATCACAGAAACTGACTATTGCACGTAATTGTTAGGCAACATACTCAGGGCTGATGTTTCGGGGCAAATAATGATGAGAGCATATTTGTCCGGCACGCCAGAATGTAAATTCGGGTTGAACGATAAACTAGTGTTGGACAAGGATCCAAGAATCAATAGGTAGTGTCCGTTGTAGCCAACGCTGTTATGACCTTTAGTGATGCAGGTTGTGTGGCGCATATGTATGTAACCAGTTTCCATATACTTTGACTTTTTTTTTTTCGTTTAGCGTTTCCCGGCGTGCTAATGCTGTTGAAATAGACGACTGTCAATTTCATCAATGTGTGAAGTTGGGAAAGTTTGATTCAGATCGAACAATAAATTTCATCCCACCCGACGGTGAATTCGAGCTCATGAGGTAAGCATTATACAAGATTTTTATTAAAACGTGTTTCGTATATGAGAATTCGTGTCTAGTTTCCTTCATAAGGCTCACAGTTTCTGACGCGTAACATAGATATAGAACAACGGAGAACGTTAATTTGCCATTTCGGGTTCATCCCACAGTCAACGAAATTGGAAAATCACGGGTAGAATATAGAGTTACTGTAAAGGCCAATTTCTCTAACAAATTATATGCGAATAATGTTGTTGTACGGATTCCTACTCCTTTGAACACGGCGAATATCAATGTGAGGGTTGTTTCGGGTAAAGCAAAATATGTTCCCGCGGATAATTCTATTGTCTGGAAGTGAGTAGGTGTTTGTTGTTTTATAATATTATTGGAATCTATTCTAATATGAGAATCTTCAAGGATGCCTCGTTTCCAGGGACAATCGGAATTCACGCTTAGTGGTGAGGCCGAACTGTCTGCAATGACGGTGAATAAGGCCTGGTCAAGACCACCAATCTCGATGGATTTTCAAGTTCTCATGTTTACGGCCTCTGGTTTACTTGTCAGATTCCTGAAAGTGTTTGAGAAGAGCGATTACCAGAGTGTCAAATGGGTACGATACATGACTAAAGCTGGCAGTTATCAGATAAGGGTAAGCAGCAAACAACTGTACTTTCATTTTTGCAGTGCATTGATACATATTAGCGAGAGTTGTCTCTAACTTATCTCTCCCACACGTGATCAGTTTTGAGGTCATATTATTATTATAGGCATTATGGACGTAATAGAGTTTGGAGTATAATTAATTGTTTGTGTCCCCTTATTTGTAAGGAATGAATTAATTTATTGCACATTCTGCACAGACACTCTGACGTTGGTTTAGAATCCAATAAAATTTGCTAATAGTAAAACCTTATTCCCAAGAGATAGTTAATAGACATAGATGCGCAGTACTTAGTGTTACCTCGATATTTTTTAGTTTTTCGAGCATTGAATAAAATATTGTCCATATTGAATGCATAATCGCTAACAATGTGTCGATTTTCACTGTAAGGAACACAGCCCGAACACACGCAGAATTTTTTTTTTTTGCAGCCCAACCCTGCACCCAAACAGTAATAGTGAAAACAAAGATTAGATGTAAGGGAATTTTGGCCAATAGACTACACAATAATCAACATACAAAACCACAATTTGGGGTGAAATGTGCGCCAACAAAAAAAATCACCCAAAAGCGTTATCACGTGACAATTAATATAACCTAGGCGTCAACTTTACGCGATTATCTATTACAATCACTCCCACATATCTTGCCCTGTCGTAATGTCGGAAGGAAATTTACGTCTATGTGGACCGGGAAGCGATTGGGTAAGTCAACCCCAATAGCCTAACAAGCAAGACGACCCCGAGACTGCGAATACGGGCTCTACTGATTCCATAATTGTGCAATTAAACAGGACGGATTTTTCACTGAAGACGGTCTTGACTTTACCCCTTGTGCGAGAGAAGTGTAAGTTCCTGACTAAAGGGTGTGCAATATTACAGGCGTTTTTCATGTTAAATTGGGTGGAAAATATCGTATATATCCCATTATGTTCTACAGTTTTTTCGCCTAAACAAAACACACACACAAACTCTCGCTTGCCAGTATACTGAATGCCTGCATTCCACTGACGGCCGTAATCGCATCCATAACGGGTCTTTTTCTACGCTGTCTATGTCGAAGGTCGAGAGAAGAACATTCCTACCAGCTCATATCGCCAATAAGCCTAGACTTTGATGATCATGATACGCTTGAACCTGTAACGATCACCAAATATGATTTGTCTCAGTTCATCATATCTTTCATTCATTTGGCGTTTGTGGGGTTCCTTTTTGGTTGGAGATTTGATGAGTATTTCGAAACGTTTAAGTACGGAATATATTGGGTTATAGGCGCTGTCGGTTTATTTATTTCTTGGGTAAGACGATCAATATATCGATCATACGCAGATCCATACTTGAATGGTTGTCATATATTATTCGCGTCTCAAACAGTATACCGTTCCCTATTTATACAGTTCTACATAGGGGCTCTAAACGCATGTCATTTGATAACGCGGCAAAAACAGTCGCAATATGCTTACATCAAGCATCTGTCTGTACTGTATGCACTTTATGCAGTAACAGCTGCGGTAAATCTTAGATCCGTGTTGAAAAATAGCAACAGGGAATACGAATTAGTATTCGCTATATGCAATGCTGCTGCAGGTCTTGTCTTGTTTGCATTATCTGTGCTAAGACCGCGCCACCCCGAGTTAAGAGACGGAGAAGTGTCGCATGATACAACTGCATCACAATGGTCACTTCTTTCGTTTTCATGGATGAATTCGTTGATCAAATTGGGGAATACGCGTGAGCTGACTGAGGCTGATCTATGGGACCTTCCAAGAAAATGCGAGGCAGTTCGATGTTATCAAGAACTTCTAGGGTAAGCTTTAGTAATTCTCTAAACTGCATATTAATCACTAAAACTGAATTGGAAATATAACGCGAGTTGTTTATTGCAAACAGAATGGCTAATATGGACGTTCTATCGCGTTTGTTTGCTACAAATGCTAAAAACTTGACCCGATTTTTCATTATTGCAATATTTCGCTCGGTATTTGCGTTTACCACGCCGTTTTTTCTTCAACGTCTGCTAGAATACATGCAGAAAGCTGATCGGTCTCAAAAGCCATCCGAAGAACCTTATCTTTATATATTTGGAATATTGGTATCTGAAATAGCAAGAATTATCTTATTGAACCAACTGAATTATCAGGTAGTTTGGCTCGGAACACGCGTGGAGCAAATGCTAAGCGTACTTCTGTATGAGAAACAACTACGCTCAATGACTGCACCGTATCGGAGCAGCACGAGAACCAATAGCGTTTTTAATGTGGACGTCGACGATATAGCAGGATTTTTTTCAAACCTTCCATTTCTTTTTACCATTCCATTGGAGATAATTGTCGCTACCTTTTACCTATATTGCCTGTTGGGAGTATCGGGGTTGTTTGGTGTTTTTATCATGATACTTTGTCTATGGGCCAACAGAAAGATAGGAAAGCGTGTCAGTCGTCTGCAAAAACGGGTCAAAAAAGCACGCGATGAACGAGTAAGCGAAATATTCGAGGTATCCATTGTATATTGGCATTGGTCTATGATGGTTTAACCTAGTACTATCCATTAACATATTTTTATCTCACCTGATAAAAGTTTCTTCACGCAGTTCGAATGATCAGGATGATAGCCGGGGAACGCAACTTTTACGAAAAACTTATGCGTAATGACTTTTCATTTGTTGCCAAGACAATTTTCGAGTTAATCGCAATTACTTACTTAACGATATCTCTTAGAGTCTCGCAAAATTGAACTCAAGCATCTCCGGAGTCTTTTCCGACGTATTGCCGTTGTCAATATTTTGGTCCATATTACGCCATTCCTTGTAACATTGTTTGCTTTTGCTGTATACACTCTTACGCTTGGTAAATCTTTGACGGCAGCAATCGCTTTCACTAGTATAATGCTCTTCAATACGTTGAAGCAACCCCTTCAGATTTTACCGAATTTAATAACGGAACTGTGCGGGCTCGGTGCTGCTGTTGGACGAGTAGAACGTTTTCTTAATGAACCGGATGTGCCAAGAGAATTTCCTGTTTCTAACGATTCTACAAATATGATAAGGGTAGGCTTTGACGGTGCTGATGTAGCATGGTATAACCGTGGCCCGATAGAGTTTATTTTGAAAAATTTAACTATAGAGTTTCCAATTGGAAAATTGAGTCTTTTATGTATGTATACTTGAAACTCACTCGTTGTTATAAACAACGTCTCTTCTGCTTAATTAATTAACAACGTCTGACTCATTGTCAAATCAGGTGGTCACGAAAGTTCTGGAAAGAGCATGGTGCTGTTATCTCTACTCAGAGAAACAATTTTGTTGCAAGGCACGATTCAATCCCCACTAGGTTCAATTGCTTATGTCCCACAGCGGCCATGGCTTGAGAATGGGACTATACGAGATAACATATTATTTGGAGAAATTTATCGTCGTGAAGATTATTGGAAAGTTGTTGAGGCTTGTTGCTTGACCGGAGAATTCGAAAACATGACTCTGTCTGATATGACCGAGGTAAGATCAGTCTAGCCTAATTGTGATGAAGGCTTTCATTGATATAGTTAAATTGACAAAAGGCTTACTTGGTATTATTAGTATGACGAGAAAAACGCCGCCTTGACAGAGGCTCAGAAAGCCTGTATTACTCTAGCCCGTGGATTCTACAGCTCCGCTCGTGTATTACTTTTGGACGATTGCTTGTCGTCCGTTGACGCTCCCAAAGGTGTGGCTCTTTGCATTTATCGATACCTAACCTCATTAAATAATGAGTAATTCTAATTTTTTGTTTGCAACCATCGTAATAGCACGGCTGATACTCGAGAATTGTCTTAATCAGGGATTCTTTAATGGACGTACGGTCATTGCCGTGTCCCAATATACTAGGTTGCTGCTGAGTTCTGCTGACTATATGGTCGTGTTGGGTGATGGTAGGGTTCTGGCAAAAGGCACACCGGACGAGGTTAAAAATTCGGGGGCACTAAGTGAAGAGATGCTTGGTAGGGAAGAAGATCTTGACAATGAAATGATAGACAGACCCGTCACTGAAACGAAGAATTGGGCATCTGATGAGGGTATGACACTTTGATTCTTTGCTTACTTGTACGAGGATAACTATAACTATGCTTACTAGAAATATTATCATTTTTTTGTCATATGTTAGCCCGTACGCATGGATTTGTTCGACCACGTGTTTATTGGTTCTATGTGAAATCAAGCGGCGGAGTTATTATATGGCTGGTTTTAGTGCTTTTATTCGGAATTATTCGATCCTTAACAGTTGGAGAGACTTACTTACTGAAAGTATGGTCGGATGCGTTTGTTAACAAGACGCATGATCAGTTAACCGATGAACCAGAGACAAAGCCTGTAGATAATTTATACTATCTACGAATTTATGCCGTCATTGCTTTGGTATCGGCTTCTGTTACTATCGCTCGTATGATATGTCAGTCTTGTGTATCATTGAAAGGTTCTAGAAGGCTCTTTACTAGACCGCTTAATGCCATAGTAAGAGCACCATTAAGCTTCTTTGATACGGCGCCATTGGGAAAAATCATGAACAGATTTTCCAAAGACCTCGGACTGGTCGATCAAGGAATAGTGACGGTCATGGCTAATTTTCTGGGAAATTTGGTGGGTGCTATAAGCGTCTTATTGGTCGTAACGGCTGTCGTCAAGGAGTATTCGGTGGTATCAGTCATCATCGGTCAGTAGTTTAATTTTATTGCTAAAACTTTTTCCATAACTATATTAACGTTTTTAATCTCTTTTGACAGCCATATGTTACATACGTATCGGTACTATGTACATAAATGCGTCAAGAGAGTTGAAACAATTGCAAAGTAAGACACGAGCTGTTGTTACATCTTGGTTCAATGATACTGTTGGGTAAGATGTCTTTTCATTCAGTTGAGTATTATTCGAATAAAGTGCGCTTACTTTGTTGTTTTTTCCCTTTCTAGTGGCATTACTGTTATTCGAGCCTACAACTGTGAACGTCATTTCGCTAGTGTTTTTGTTCAAAGGTGAAGTTGAGCTGTCTTTGTTTATTCTGCAACAAAATTCAACCCCAATCTAAATGTCATCATTTCCATGCTACCCCTCGCTAAACGATAGGCTTAACACAGCAAACCGAACAACATATCTGTTGCACATGTCTAACAGATGGATGTCGGTCCGGATGGGATGCATCGGTGCTGTTGCAACGTACTTAGCAGGCGTGTTTATTCTCTGGCATTTTGATAGAATCAACGCTGGCCTTGCTGGTTTTGCTTTAAGCTATGCATTGAGTTTCGTACAGATAGTCTTTGTGAGTATTAGAAACGCGTAAATTGTTGTCGCGCATGCTATTAGAAGTATCAGAATTTAATCTATTCGATACTCTCACTGATTTGTCATATAGTTACTCGTTAAAGACTTTATAACGATGGAAACTGGTTTGAATAGGTAAGTGTTATGACTGCAAGCTAAGATCAACGCGGGGATTATTTAATAACAGCGAGCATCTATTAGCGTTGAACGCATTTCGGAATATATTGGTATGCCGCAGGAACCTCCAGCAATTATTGACAGTCATCATCCTCCAAATGCTGTAAGTTAAAATATAAAAACTTTTTGATTATCTATCTAAGTCTCATAAATCTATTGTTGGATTCTAGTGGCCTACAAGAGGGAACATTGAAGTCACCAAACTGGTTGTCAAGTATTCGGAAACAAGCATCAAGCCAGCTCTCAATAATATTACATTTTCAGTCGACCCTGAGGAAAAAATAGGAATTGTTGGAAGGCATGCAATACAAGTTTATGCTGTTTTATTAAGAATGATTAGCTTACAACCCAATAAACTAATTGGCTGGTATTATTACAGGACGGGTTCCGGTAAAACTACGCTTGCAAATTCTTTCCTGAGGCTTATAGAGGCTTCAGACGGCGCTATTGTTATTGACGGTATCAATATTGCTGACATTGGGCTAGAAGACCTTAGGTCACGTATAACACTGATAAACGAAGGTAACGATTAAAAAGTCCGTGTGTGCAGTAACTACTGAATCTGTTAACCATTGATAAACGACTTTTGTCCATGTAGATCCTATATTGTTTGAAGGGACAATACGTTCTAATCTCGATATTTGTAATACGTACAATGATCATGAATTATGGGAATCTCTTCGAAGAGTAAATTTCATATCGATTGAAGAGAATCCAGCCAGTGACCAAGGTGGTATCTTAGTTGGACCGATTAAAAGTCTAGACGATCCGGTTAACGAAGGTGGAAGCAATTTTTCAAGAGGACACAGACAGCTCCTATGTTTAGCAAGAGCTTTATTGAGACAGGCAAAGGTAAGCATTTAAAATGTGTTGTTTGTGTTGATGCTTCTACTAACTTCGTTATCATCATCATTATCATCATCGCAGATAATTGTAATGGACGAAGGTAATTATCTGTCATACTGTCTTTACCTCTTAATTTGATCTCAAATGACGAATCTTTATCACTTGGTAGCAATGGCTAGTATTGATCCAGAGATGGCGAACAAAATACAAGAGATAATTCGTAATGAATTTCATCATGCAACAGTTTTATGCATCAGTCACCGATTTCGAACCGTGATTGATTCAGATAGAATACTCGTTCTCGGTACGTATTTTTTATTTGATGGAAATAAAACGTTTCATAACCATGATGCTTAACTTGTCTATATCGATTATTTTCATAGACGATGGGGAGATAGCTGAATACGACACACCATATAATCTCATAATGGATCCAAAAAGTCTTTTTCATTATTTATGCGAACAAACTGGCGAGCTAGATTCACTAGCAGAGCTTGTCAAGTTTAATCATCCTGAATTCGATATTCTGGAAGAAGATCAAGAGGATGAAGCTGAGGAAGCCGAGGACGAAGAGGAGGAGGAAGTAGAGCCAGAGAACGCGGGCTCATCGGAGGAGGAACAATACAACGAAAATAGTCAGGAAGAAGAAATTGAATATGATGATGTAGAAGAACATGACAGTTTTGAGCAAGAAAGTCAGGGAGATCACTTATCGTCGAATGAGAGGACGCTAAGCGATGAAGCAACAGAAGATCAAGAATAGCCGTTAGAATGATAAGTGGACAAAAGTTGGTGAGATCAAATGTATTCTCGTGTTTATTTGTTCTGTAATATCAGTAACCTTGTACAAAATGTGTCATAATTAATGAGGAAAACTTTTGTTGCGTGCTAGTGTAGTATAACAAATGATCAATTCCAGTAGATTGTCATTAGATTAATAATAACTTATCTTTCATGTAAATCCAATATCACTGCCAATTGTTCCCTAAATCAATATATCTCATCAAACGGTTGTGTATCTCTGAAACAGCTTTCAAATACTTCAGCCACTGTTCGCTCAGCTATACCTGGAGCTGAACAATGGGAATTTTGGGAAACCGAAAGTATGGCACGTCGTTTTACACAAGTCTGTTCAAATAGGTTGCATTAGAAGTTATCAAGTATTCATTGTAGTAATAGTCATGATTTACCTGATGCTGCTTTGTAAAAGTAAAAAATCCTCTACGTATTTCTCTCGTCCATCCGCAATCTCCACTAAGACTTGCCGCGCGAACCTAATTCGTTTAAAAATATTACTTTGTGTTATCTCACAGAATTTGCTTAGATAAGATATTATTACCTCGCTGCAAGCATGATGCAAACAGTTGGTCCAATCAATTTTGAATCTACAATGATCATACAAATGGACCATTTCGTGCACCATTGTTATTTCCTGATGCTTTTTAGATAAGAATCGATTCTGACAAAGGAGGATCCCGAATTCAGGTGAAAATCCACCAGAACGGGTAGTATCACATGGATGGCACGCAAAGTGTTTTTTAGATATTTTGCAACCAGCTTTCTCTATATTTTGAAGCATGAAAATCACTGCCGGGCCTGGACGGAATATTAAAGTATTATTAAACGCGTTAGAAATCGACATCACGACACAATCGGTGGAATAACAATTACACTACCTGAACAAAAATCATTGATTACAAGTATAACTAATACGAAATAGAATCCATCTTATTGACTATTATGCTGAAACAAGCTTTGACTCTCGGCACAATTTATTCAGTTAGTTATGTACTTTCAAAAGAGATTTGCAACGTTGCTTTTCTTTCCAAAATTTTTACCAAGATCTCATAAAGGTCGAAAAACCGAAAATCAGTTAATCTATAAACAACACATCTTTCGGACAACCTCCCAGTCTTGAAGCCAGAAACCGACAGTTAGAGAGAAAGCCGACGGGGTTGTCATTTTGTCATCTAGTGCGATAGTCAACAGATAAGTGACAGAAAAATAGTAATTGACAACCATCGTTGATTTTTGAGTTGTTCAGTCATCAAAGACTGGGCATATCCGAAAGATGTTGACTGGGAAACGCGTCCTTTATAAATTGACAGATTTTCAGCATTTCGATTCAATTCGATTGTTTTTTGCCAATCCAACTTTAAATCTTTAGACACATTATTTCTTTGATCGATAGGCTTGCGTAATCAAATATTTTTGTTCAGACTAGCATATTTCGGCAAATAACAAGTACTAACTAGATCGTATTAATTCATCTCTCCATTTTTTGCATTTCTTGCACTGCGACGCTTCTAATTCTTTCGCTCTTTTTTGGTTGTATAGTTCTCTTTCCTGTTCGGTTAGTCCAAGTCCTGTGATGTATTTTAAACTCCTACACCATCGTTCAAATTTCAACTCATCACGATCGATAGCATTGTCACTTGTGTGAGTTGTAGTTTCTTCCGCTTTTGCAGACGAGTTCAACATTGTAAAAAAAGAAAAATGTGTTGATCACATGTGTGCAGATGAGATTGCGCAAGTCACATGTTTGAGCATAAAACCCCAAAATATTAATATCGGATTTAAATCAGAAGGCTAATTAAATACCAATTACGGTTGAATGGAAATAACGCATATTATATTAATTTGTCATCTCTCCAGTGACGCTTACAAAAACAGATTAAGATAGCATCTAAATTTCCTTCATAGTTTTGCAATATTAAAAAACGCAAACACAGCTGTTCTGTTCGTTACGGTCGGTGACCGACATGCCTTTTGGTCAGGTAAGACAATTCTTTTATATGCATTAATTAGTAACATAACTGACCATAATCATAAAGATAGTTATTGGGCCTCCAGGTAAGACATGCTCTTCTTATAATAGCGGGAATTTCCAACATAATTAATAACGATAAGTCAAACAATCACAGGCTCCGGGAAGACCACTTATTGCCATGGCATGCAACAATTCTTTAATGCTACTGGACGGTGGGATCTACTACTCCTATTTGGCGGTTTGGCGCGCTTCTTTTGACCTTTTAAGACTTTTAATGTAATAGGAAAGTCTCGGTGATAAACCTTGATCCGGCCAATGATCATCTTCCCTACGATTGTGCAGTGAATGTTTCTGATCTGATTAGTCTTGAGGAATCAATGGATGAACTTAAACTCGGTCCTAATGGTGGCATGATGTACTGTATGGAGTTTCTGGAGAAGAATTTTGATTGGCTCGAGGAGGAACTGAAAGCTCTTGGAGGTGTGTGGCAGATAGCGATAGTCGAAAAGAACAGGCGGCAAGATGGAGGTTTATAAGATATACTAAAGTACTTTTTTCATGTATGCAGACGATTACGTGTTGTTTGATTTGCCGGGCCAAGTCGAGTTGTTCACTCACCATGATTCAGTCAAAAATATTATTGAAAAATTAGTCAAGCTGGACTATAGAGTAAGAGATTTACATTGATGATTATGCTTATTTGATTATATATTTGTGTACTCACAAAGTTTTGCCTGATTGTCCCAGCTGGTAACTGTGCATTTAGTAGATGCACATTACTGTACAGATGCAACCAAGTATATTGCTGTGTTATTATTGTCATTAAAGACAATGATACAGATCGAGTTGCCTCATGTCAATGTATTATCCAAAGTTGATCTGATAGAGTCATATGGGGAACTTGGTGAATATTATTATATAAAATAGATTCAATTAATTCAAATAGCAGCTACAGAACTAATTTCCGTCATGACATTTCTCATTGAATTTTCTCAATTCGTATCAGCATTCAATCTGGACTTTTACACGGAAGTTCAAGATCTGTCATATCTGCTGGGTCAATTGGATGATAGTCCATTCGGACAAAAATTCAAAGACCTTAACAGGGCCTTATGCAATCTTGTTGAAGACTTTTCACTTGTTGCATTTCATACACTTTGTATAGAGGTAAGCAGAAAGCATAATTTTATTTAGCTGATACATTCAATTACTGAATATATGCGTGGAATTATATCATTTCCATAAGGATAAGGAATCAGTGCTTGAATTAGTGAGGGTAATAGATCGTGCCAATGGATACGTCTTTGGAGGTCAGTTACATGGAAATGAGAATCTCATATTTTCTGCCACAACTAGTGATCATGGATTCGTGAGCAATATCATGGAAATACAAGAGAAGTGGACTGATTCAGGACATGGAGCAGAATACATAGAAAATTTTGCTGATTCTGAAGAAAAATAAAGATAACATTGCCTTGATGCTGTACTGTATGATCAGTTCAATGCATGCTAGCAGTACTTGTTTTGGCTTTGCAAAATGCAGAGTTAACATCGTGCACAAATTAATTCTTGGGGTAAAAAAGGTGATACCCAACTGCCACCATAAAAGTTCGCCTTTCTGGAGGTGGTATCACTTTTCATAGTTATAAGTTATTAATCTCTAGCATCTAAATCCTTTCTCAATTTTTCTATTATTTGTTGTTGGTTAAATATAAAAATATCCTTCTGCATAGCTATTTCAAAGTTTTTTCGCTCATGCCATTCCTCAGCTTTGTCAAGTGATTTCATAGCCATTTCCTGTTCTGCTTCTACTCCCTCTTCCAATTCCTCTATTCTGTTATCTTTTTCTTCTAACTTTACTTCTAATTGCATATTTTTTTCTACTCATTGAGAGAGTGCATCCTTATGTAAGTAAATATGCTGAATAAAACTTTTTCTAAACTTTTTGTCACTCAACTGTTTCAATTCATCAAGGCGAAGTTCAAAATAATCTTTAACTTCTCTTACGTGCTTTTCAATTTCAACTGACTTCTCTCGAATCTCTCATTTGGAACATAATTCACTAATTGCTTCTCTCATTTCCTCTTCGGTTAAAATATTGTTTTGGTTTGTCATGATTTTAATTTTTATATTATTATTTTAATATTAAAAGATTAAATAGAACAAACAAAAACTAATAAAGTAATGAAATTTGCAGTTGACTGAAATATTTTTATTCATTATCAGTATAGATTGGTTTGGGACAAGTAATATCATCTCTAACGAATGGGCGAATATTATGATAAAGATATTCTTGTCTTTTGTAATCCAAAGGAGGCGGAGTTAGAACCAAAATAGAAA